CCTGCCAGGAGGCAGAATGCAGAAGCTGGTCACATCAGCCCTTGTTGCGGGATCTTGTGCATTATTTAGGCAAAATCCTCCAGCCTGTGTTAGGCAAGAAGTCAGGTTAGGTAATTAGAGTGGTCCTAGCTGGCCTCAAAGCCTCCCAGCTGGCTATGCCCTGTATTGGGGTGAAAGGCCAGATTTCTCACAACTCCAGAAACAGGGCAAGAGGGAGGGAGAAGACGACTGTCAAGTGCTCTGCTTCCATAACCAAGGCCTTTTTGCAAAGAGCTCAACACCTGAGGTGCTCTGCTTTGGGAAGGCTTCTTGTTGCACATATGTCCTTAGAAGTGTTGACTTTCTTACTGTTCACCTGCTCTGAAATGAGAATCCTGTGGATTAATAAATGGGGTTTGGTGTCTTTCCTGGTAGCCCGTCTGGGTGCCCTTGGCTGCATGCTCTTTGGTAAGCTGCAGAACTGGCTTTTTGCCTCCTGCCAAAATCAAGCTCCAGGGGGGCATTTTTTTTTTTCCAGAAGAGAATATGTGCTCTTGCTGGCAAGCTTTGTGTCTAAGCACTGGCTCTTTCCGAACTCGTGATGCCAAGACTGTTTTTATATATTTACTTCCTTTATAAGGACATCAACAGGCACCCCACCCGCCCCAAGTTTTGCATCCCTTGATAGGCTTCTATTTCACAATAAATCCTCAAATACAATGGAGTGTTCCTCCTAGAACTAAAATAACTGTAGACTTCATTAGGGAACTCAGCAGCCAGGGATGAAATTTGTTCCCTGCTTGACATCCCTTAAACGATGGGCACAGCAGCGTGCCCTCGGGGCTGTAGTATCTGGCAAGCCAGGCGGAGAGGGGAATCCTAGCTCTGCTGCAGCCAGTGGGTGTTTCCGTGCGGTCAGGATTTCATCCCAAGGCTGTGCTGAAGTGGGGAGGGGTGGTTTTTCCTGCCCTTTCCGTCCTTAGGGCAGGGTAGCCTTTCCCACCCAGATTGGAGTCAGATACGCTGTAGTATTTAGCCTTTGCTGAGCTCTGGTATTGCCTTTATATGACACTTTTTCTTGACAATTTACAGCAAATAACATCGTGATACAGCTGATGCACATGGAGCAAGAGATAGGGACTGTCAGAAGGCAGTTCAGGAGCTTCGGTCCTTCTCCACTGATTATAAAGAGACCCTAGAGAGATTAGGCTTCTGATGTAGATGCCTTAATTAAGTGCCTAAAGATTAGATAGCATGAGCCTGACCCCAAATGTCCCTCTAGGCAGATGCTGAATTAGCACTGAACTTGAACTGGAACAGGGGTCTGGAAGAGCAAGAATCTCAGCTTTTAAGTCTCTAGGAACCATGTTTAGCCCAAAAGCACTCAGAGACTGGTCACCTGTCCTACCCCAAAGCACAGAGACCTGCAGAACTCCTTCCACATCTTGCAGCAAACTTACGTCCTTGACATTGATGGGTTTCGTTCTTTTATTAGTAATATACCACAGATGGAGAAATCAACAGTCCCACTTATGTCTTGTATCATCAGAGGAGAAGCTGGGTGAAAATGCCCAGCCAATCTTAAGAATTGCATCTTATCTTTAAACTACAGAATGCAGCAAAAAGCAGGGGACAGGACTCCTTCATGGTCCCAAATCTGGCAATCAGTTTAGCCTGAGCATGTGAGCAGGATGCATCAAGCAGGCATCAGTAGTTGGGTAATGAACAATTAAATGAAATTCCTGTGTTGCAGACCATCTAGCTGGATGAAGCTCACCATCTCTGCTGGGCCAAATTTGTGTTTGATATAATTTCGGCGAGACTTATAAAGTTAAAAGAGTGCCAGATTAGAGTGATTGCCTGTGATCTACTCCAACAGTGACTTTTGCCAAGACTTGCCAGCTGTGAGAATGAAAGCCTTCCCGTAAAGAGCAGTCCTGAAAGCCACTGGCATGTCCTGTGGGCAACTGAGCAGCTTTGAGACAGGGGACAGCTTTGAAGTCATTGAGGACTGGGTGAGCATGATTCCCCCTACATGCTGTTTGTGCCGGCTTTTTATTTTGGCTTCTGCAGGCAGAGTGCCACTGCGAGAGATCATGCTGAGCAAAAAACCTGTGTGTGTGCTTGCCTTAATTTTATTTTTTACCCTTACATGATTTTCAGCAATTATCTAAATGTCTTCTTTTTTTAATTACTATAAATTCAGGAAAGCTACTGGTTGGGCATGGTGAGTGAATCCAGAAGAACGTAACAAGGTGAATTAAACACCCACTATTCTTTGCTTGGGGGAGATTTTAAGCAGGGTTGACATCTTTATCCCTTCTCTTGAGGCAGCTGAGGCAAAAAGAAGAGATGCAAATCAGTGTTAACTTGAGTGTTTCCTCCCTTTGATCGTTCTGAGTCACTCAACCTTCATGTTCTTCTCTTGCTTCTTGGCAAGTGACATGTCCAATGGGGTGAACAGTTCAGCTGCTAGCATTAGGGGTAGTTTTGGTTGTCCCAGTGCCCTAAGAAAATCTTGGACCATGGGTGTAGGGACCTCACTTGTCCTTCATGTTCTGCTGCCCCTCTACTTTTTTTCAGCTTATGGTAAAAAGGTGCCTTGGTGGCAGACTTGCTCTGGGCTCCTCTGTCCTGAGAAACACGCATGTGGAGGGCTTGATGCTGCTCCTGGTGCTTTGCAGTGAAGAGGCTGGTGCAAGGTGTTGGTTCTGTTATCCAGTAAAGGAGCTAGAGTGGATCCAGACACTCATCTCCTGGCAAGGCAGGGGAGACAGCTGGCTGGCCGTGGCAGAGCTAAGGTGGCTTGAGGGATGAGCAGGATTGCACCTCTGTACGTTTTACTTATGCTACTGTTCTGGAAGTTGAAAGCATTCAGGTGGATGATGATGAGTAGCTTGGTAAGGGTGTTTTATAATCAAATTATTCTTTGTTTTTCTTGTAGGTTGAAAACTTCATCAGCAATCATAATGCTGGTTTAGTGCTGAATATTCCCCACAAAACTCGGGACAGGCGAGTAAGCGTTATGATTTTGGTTGAACAGTTCATTTGAGGTTATGCAGCAGGTTAAAAGAAAATCTGAAAGCAGAATTTGGAAGATCATGGCTTGAGGTGCAACTGCTGCTTCTTGGACAAGGAGCAACATATGAATCAAGCCATACGTTAAGCACTGTCCTTTTAAAAAGGCACAAATATAACACCTTCAGATGCTCCATATGGCTTGGAATTCAGCTGTGGTTTATACTCTTGCTGTGTGAGAAAATGAGAACAGAGGTGTGTAGCACTTTATCCCTGTCTTATTTACGAGCAGTAGGAGAATGTCCTGCGAAATGTGAGCAGCTAATTTTAGGCGACAACATAGTTTAAGGTGCCAAGCCTTCCAAAAGGAGAGGAATGTATATCCAGCTAGACTGTCTTTAGCTCCAAGCTGCTCTAGGGCACTGGATGTTTATGCCACCTCCAGTACATTAAATCTTTTGTGTGGAGACATAATCCTTTGTTGTGACATTAGTAGAGGTAGCTGTTACGGAAATGATTGTGAAATCCTTCGTCTTATGGAAGAGGAGAAGAAGGAGGTGCATCTGAGGTGGTTTGCACTGTGTTAATGCTCTCCAGCCTCAAATCTCAAGGGGCTTTCCGAGTGCTAATTAATTAAGTCGGGGTTGTCTGTTTTCAGCAGTGGACAAACAGTAGCGTAGGGAGTGTGGAAGCTGAGCTGGCGTTGCACAGGGACCTGAAAAGACCTGAGTAAAACGCAGGGCTTGATTCCCAGCTAAGATGCCCTACACTTAGAGGCACGCAGGAAGGAAGCCAAATTTAAATGACCCACTACACACTCCCTATTATTTTTCTTCATCTTCTCTCCTACTTCCCAGCACACTCTGCAGGGATGTGGTAGGGACTGTATGGCACAGTGCATTCTGCATATGCTCCTGCCCCTTGCTTTATGTTGGCCCAAGGTAAGTACAGAGATCTTGCACCACTTCTACCCTGGAGAGGTCCTGACTCAAAGTCTTTTTAAGGCCACTTCATGTGCAGCACAGAGGATTCCTGTCCGGTGCCCAACCTGCTCTGTCACACCCCAGGCCAGCAAGGACTAAGAGTGCCCTCTGCTGCACTCCTTCTCCTCATCTTTCCATGGCAGCATTCCACTTGCTGTTTGGGAATAAACAAAACAACTCTTTAATACACAAAACAACTCTTTCATATTCTAAAGCTCTTTTTGTGCAGGCGGTGGAGAAGCCTGGTTCTGTATTTCAGCAGCAAACAAAAAAGATCATGCCCTGAGATAAAAATGTGTTATGTCCTGCATCAATCCCGAGGTGCAAATAAAGTACTACGGGGAATTGCTGTCCTTTATCAATAACCTTCACCCCGTAGCTTTTCACTGCCTCATAAAACAAGCAGCTTCTAGGTGCAGGAGTTCAGACAGCAGCCTTTATAGTCATGAAACTTTCATTTCTTGGAGCTGGCAGCAGCAAGTGCTGGTGATGCACAGTCAGTTATGGTACCTAATTGCGCCTAACAGCACTGAACTTTCCGTCTCTCGCTCCTGTTCAAAGGAAAAACATTGAGCACCACAAAGCTGTGTTTATTTAAGTCCTCAGCTCTTGCAGCCAAAAAGGAATGGATGTAGGTAAGGAAAGGGGGGTTGCGTTAAGAAAGCTGTCCCAAGCTTCATACTTTTGGAGTTAAAAAGAGGAAAATTAAAAAATAATAATCCTGCTTTTACTGGGATTTGATTTACCCACGTGGAAAGTAACCAAGCTGCAGGCTGTGCCGGCAGCCCCGTAACCACCAGGGCCACAGGAATCTGCTCATGTTCCTTGGAATTTGGACATTTTTTGTTGCACCCATTTCGGCTTGCTTTCCAGATTGTCACTCAAGCGCGGGGCACGCCCCCTCCTGGAGGCTATTTAAAGAGGAGCTGGTGTGCAACTTTCTCCAACGAGCGAGGAGAAACTCCGAAGGAGGAGTGAGTCAGTCGGCAGCCTGAATCCCCTCCCTTCCCTTTACTCGGGATGTCTGGCAACTTGGGGACAGTGACCTGGACCCTGTTCCTCCTCCTCCTTGCACCTGGCTGGGTATGTATTGCACTGCAGCAGCTCTGTTTGCTGGCTGGGCATTGCAGCTTCTTGCTTTGATGCATGCGAATGCTTTAGGCTGAATAAATCTTCCCAGGTGCCACCTGCCTCCAAAGGTTTCTGAGAGAAGTTTGGCTGTTAGCAGAACAATGCAAATGCACTGTGTAACTAAATCACGCTCGGAGCTGCACCGCGCTTAATGCCTGTCAGCTACGGATCTCAAAGCTCTTGGCAAATGTGAATGGCTTTTTTTTTCCACTCCACTCTTGTGAGCTAGAAGCCAGCCCTGGTTTACAAGAGGGAGAGGTGAAGTCACTGAGTTTATGTCACTGCAAGGAATAAAAGTCTTGTAGCCCAGGTCCTTCCCATCACCATCCTTCCCCAGCTGCCACTGAATCCACCCATGTGTTCCCAAAAACAGTGATCCCGAGGGGGAAATGAGACTGCAGCCTCTCCAGAGCAGGATTTGTGCCTGTTTTTGTGTTAATACAAGTGCTTCACAGAGCAGCTGATTCTGCTTAGGACTTCTATGTGCTATTACAGTGCCAGTAATAGCAGGAACATTGCTGCAGTCATTAATGTACCTGAATTGCAGTAAGTGCCTTTTGGATCAGTGAAGAAATCAGGTTCACAGAGCCACTGTGCCTTGCACGGCTTATTGTGCTGATAGATGCAATAAACTTCTGGTTGATGAGGTCTGTTTGATTGCTCCTGGCAGCACCCAGCATGTGCCAGCCACTTTCCTGCCAGGAAAGGCATCCTGTGCACCTAACACTACTGTGATCTAAGGGTAATTTCTGTGATTTGGAAAGGTCATCTTGATTGTTGCTCTGACCCAGCTTTGGCAGCATTATATTGGTCATATAAATGAAGGCAGTGAATCCCACCACTGTGACACTTTATTATTTCCAAATTTATTATTTTTGCCAAGAAAGGTTGGACCAGATGATCCTTGAGGTCCCTTCCAACCTGGTATTCTATGATTCTGTGATTACTCTGAGGTGATGTCATTTTCCCTAAACCTGCCAACTGCCTCGGAAATGGGACTTTTGACTTTCTTTGAGCTCTGAGAGTGGTGTTTAGTGGATCGAGCAAGGAAATGAGAGCTGTTACTCCTGAGCCTGCTGCCTGTGTTGTTCAGAGGCGCGAGTAGAACCAGGATTGCTGGGAGTTATGTTTAGCTCTGCCAGGCTCAGCCTGGGCCAGTCTTCGTGTCTCCATGCTCTGTCTGTGAAATGAGGGTAACGATTCTTGTCTCTTGTAATACGCTGTTGTACAATGTGCTGCAGCAACCTTGGGAAGGTGCCTTGAGAGCCTGTGGTGGAGGGAGAGCAGGTATTATCCACGATAATTCAGTGTTTGGAGTATGTGAATAGCTGTGTTTTGGCTGCTTTATCTACTGCCACTCTTGGAACGTGAAAGAGAACCAGTTACATGTTTATTATATTACTTCTACCTTGCAGTGTTACCTCCTGGCTCCCAAAGCACTTTGCAAACAGCTAGCTCAGCTTCAGAACACTCCTTTCCCAGCCCTTTGAATGCAGTCACGAGCCCAAACGCGTTTTAAAAATCCTCTTTGGTTTGGCCCTCTTAGCTGGTTCCCTGGGCTCGTGTGGACATTGACTGATCAGGAAGGAGAAGTCCTGACGATGCCACGGAACTGCTGCAGTGGTGTGAGATTGTGTCCCCCAACTTGAGCCTTCCTGAGGGCATAGGGGGAAGAGGTTTTATGTGGATATGAAGCAGGAAGAACATTCTCACTTTTTCTTTTCCCCCAGGTAACTGGGTTTGGTGCTGGCAGTTGGGAGGAAGCTTGTTCTGGCTTGTCAGCTGAGCAGATGGGGCCTGGGAGTCAGTGGTGGAGAGCATGTATGGAGCACAGGCAAGGGAGTCCTCTAGTCTGTTTGCACTCCTGTTGTGGCTTGGCCATCGCTCAGCGGTCCTGGGAGTGGCAGATGCACACGTAGTGATTGTGATCGATATGAGAACTGCCAGCAGAGCCAGGAGCAGGGAGAGCTGATATTCCAGGCTTTAGCGCTTTCTTAAATCTGTAGCCTTGATCTCTGTAAGACTGGTTCTGTTCTGCTGCTCTCAAAGTTCACAGAAATGCACTGCTAACCTCAACAACAACAAGGGCAAGGCTGTAGTGAACTTGAAGTTAGGATCCTGCTCAAAGATGGTAAAAGTGTAGTTTTGGGGAGAGACCCTTCTGCAGAGGGAAGAAAATTAAATGTTCTCCAGGTTGAATTCCTCTGCACCCAGGTCAGTGGCATGTTGTGTGGAAATGCTGGTCTTTGTGTTACGTGTGGGTCTGTAGCAAAGCCCTGAATGTGAGTCCTTGCAGTTCTTTGGGACAGTTTGGGCAGTTTCAACACTGTATTGAAACAACGCCTAGAAGCAGTCCTTGAAAATAATGCAGGGTGGAGGGTGCTCCATGCAAATGCAATATAATCCATTATTTAGCCTCTTTGAAATTGCTGTGAAAGCAAATTAAGTAATGGAGAACTCTAGGAAGTTGGTTCAATGTTGACTTTCTACTGGCTGTTCCCAGCTCAAGAAGTTCCCCTTGCCAGGCAGTTATTCAGTGCTGATGGTTGAGTGTGCATGAGCCAAAAAAGATTTCAGCCTATTCTCTCCTCTCTCTTGGACACATAAGAGGAGCGGGAGTTATAAATAGCACGAGCTGACTTTGCTCAGTAGTAAAACAAGCAAACAGGAGCCCCAGCACACCCTGGGGCCAGGTGGACTGGGTGATGAAGAGAGGCATGTCTGAGCTGACTGATCAGAAAGTCTTGAAGTATTGAAAAGAGCCCTGCAAATACGGATGAATTGGGCCTTTTAAGCCATGCTTCTGCTCACAGGTGGGGGAAATGAGGCACAGCAGAGGTAGGGGTGCAGAGTCACCTGACGGGTCTCTGGTACGTCGGAGATCTGAGTCCAGATGTTCTTGTGCTGAAAAGCAGCCGTAATATAATGAGGAAGTGAAGCTGATTGTGAACAGAAGGTAAAACCAGGTGGTCTAGTTTCTTCGGGTGAGTTATTAAATGAAATAAACCGCGCCAGCAATGATTAATGAAAGCAAGAAGGAAAACTCGGTTGGGTTTAATTCCATTGCATTCTCTGTTATCCTGAAAGAGGTTGGTTTGGTTTGTTTTTCAGTAGGAGAGCTATTTTGAGAGTGTTTATTTATATGGCCTGTGGCTGACACTGCATTGGAAAATGCTTGTTGTCATTATTTTTTTTAAGTGCATGCATTGCATCTTAATATAGGTCCTGTGTTAGGAATGCTTTGCCTCTTTTATGATCTCATGTACCCCCCACCCACTCATCCATGGTTGAATAACATGTCCTTTTGGCAGCTACAGCAGTTGCATACATGAAAAACAGTAGGAGAGCATTTCTGTATTTTTAGCATCTTTTAATGCACTTTAGCAGTCGGGAGGAGATCCCTGTGACATGCCAGCTCCCAGTGAGTGGCTCTGAGACTGCCGTCTGAGAACAGCTGGGCTACAGGCAGGAGAGGCTTGTTTCCAAAATACTTTGTGCTAGGAGTTTTCAAGGAGAATTACACTGATTCCTGCTGAGCAGGGTGAGACTCTGGGAGGACTTGTGAGTTAAGATCCCTGTCCTACACCATACTGTGCTGATTGTTACAGAAGTACAAAGCAGTTGGCATCTTCTGACCCCACGTGAGCTAAAGTCAGAGCAGCTGTTTTGAGCAACAGTCAAAACAGCTGGAAGAGTTTTACTACTGTTATTGGTGACAAACACAATATCCAAGGAAGCTGTTTCACAAGCGAGGGCTGGGTGGGATATAACAAGTGCAAACAGAGCTGTAGCAAGATATTTTTTTGGCTTCTGTTCCAGGTGTCCCCCCCTCCTGCCTGCCCCCAGGCTCTTTCCAGCTGCTGCAGCCCTTCTCCCTGGGTGGCAGTGGCCGGGTCTGGCAGGGGAGCCGTGAGGGTTCTGCCCTGTCGGGTGCTTTCATCTTCACCCAGCTCACAGCAATACAGGATCCCAAAGCGTTTTGCTGGCATCATGTACGTGCAAGGGTTGTATCAGCCCTGCGGCAGCAGCTGCCCCTGGGGTGGGAGCTGACCCATATCTAGCAACGCACAGCATGTGAGCACTGCAAATTGGAGTAGTGCTCTTGCATCCCTCTGAACTACCTTGAGAATTTTATTGGGCAGAACAGAAAACCAGGCTAGAGTTGGCACACTGATGGTTCTGAGGAGGTATAAGAGGATCTTTAGAGACCATATGCTCTGCACCTTTCAAGGTTGTGGTTTTACATCTTGCCCAAATCTGGGCACATCCAGATCTGAGGCTGGTGTATCTGCTCCAAACTGATTCAGAACAAGGAAGCCACAGACTGAGTTATTGGAGTGTTTGAAGCATCCTGGGTTTTCCGGAGAAGGTAACCCTCCTTCAGACATAGCCTGATCTCTGTTTAGCTGCTGAAGTGGCATAAAAGCCATAAAAGGTGGGTTTCAAGAGGTGGCCAGCACTTCTGCAATGCTGTCAAGTGAGGCAATTGTAGATTCACAAGGTTCCAAGAAAGGTCGGTTGCACTGTATTCTTTGGAAAGGGGAGAGGAGAGGGTGCATCTCTGGGAATAACAAAGAAAGTATGACATCCAGGGGACACAATGGAACTCAGGAGCCTTTGGGTCAGTTTTCGGCACTGCTGCAGTCCTGCTGGCTGTCTTTGGGCAAGTCCTTTCACTATGTACCTCACTTTTTCCATCTTCAGACTGGATCTAATGGTGCTGCTGCAGAGTGCTTCGATATCTTCTTCTGAGCAGTGCTATGTAAAAGCTGGGAATTACTTACTGTTAATAATTACTATTTTATTGTTTCCAGGGAAGCGGGGGGCTGAGCTGCATGTGGGACTCCAGGCTACTGCTTATCCTGTTTGTTTTGGCCCTGCTTCTCAGAGGCATCTTTTTTTTTTCCTTGAGCTCCAGATGAGTTAGGGATGAGGAAAAGATTAGTCTTGCGAGTCCTTGGGAGCTGCACACGCATCCTCTGCAGCAGGGGTCTCCAGTGGAGGGTGAAGTTGGTCTTCCCTCCTCTTGATGGGGTGTCTGTGCTTGAAGCAGAATCGTGTTTTTCATTTCTCTGCGTGGCTGGCTTGCGGGAGACTCATTCTCTCCATGGCTTGTTTGCCCTCCAGGTAGAACCGCAGGCCTGCACGTATCCATGCCAGTGTCCCTCCCAGCCTCTGCAGTGCCCCCCTGGCACCAGCCATGTGTTGGATGCCTGTGGTTGCTGCAAGGTGTGTGCCAGGCAGCTTGGCGAGCTCTGTTCCCTGCAGAAACCCTGTGATCATCACAAGGGACTCTACTGCGACTTCTCCAAAATCCACAGAGGCAGCGGGATCTGCTTAGGTGAGAGCTGTATGTTCTGTTATTGTGCGGTTTTCTTGTGGCCCCTTCAGACCTCCCAGAAAACCCACGGCATCGTCAGAATTTCCTGCAGCGCTTGGAGCTTCATCCAGCATCACGTTGTGAGATCTGTGCCAGCCCTGCGAGCCAGCAAACTCACTGATACCTTCACACATGCAACCTACTTCCTCCTGCAATGAAGGATGTTTCCAAAGGCACGAGTTGGGGTTTGGGACTCTCCTTTGTTCCTGTGACATTGTTAGGAGACATCCTCTAACCCTGTAGCACCTGTGGGTAAATACTAGCAATCTGGACTTTTACTGGAAAGTACAGTTGCTTGGAAAATCTCACCCAAAATCTCACTGCCTTGCACTGGAGATTAGCATTCTGCACTCGACTGCTTACATGCAAAAGGCATACCATATTTCTGGCTGTAGCACGTGGGTGGAAAGAGCTGAACAACTCGTTTGCAAAATAGTGTGTAAGTAGAACACAAGAATTACTGAGCCAGGTAAATACAAATGCAGACCTGTTTTCTCTCTTAGTGCCTCTTTTTAGCCAGAAAAGAAAAATCTTTTTCATTTTTTTTGTTTAGTAGCTATTTTTAAAGCATGCAAAAATTATTTTGGTGTAGAGGAAAAAAAAGTATTTCCTCAGTCTCCTGTTCTTTGTTTAAAAACAAGACTCCTCTGCCCCGTCTTTGCCAGGAGCTGACCGTTTTTTTAATCCAAGCTTTTCAAAATAGGGAAGAAGACAGGAGGGCTGGAAAACTGAGGTGAATGCTTTGGGAAGTGTTCAGCCACTGCACGGGGCATGTCTGGAAATGCTCCAGCAACCGCACTACTCACACCACCCCGAGACACGGACGTTGGGGGTTTGGGGTGGAACTGCACTGTTTTGCCGTGCCAGGATCACATACAATTTTTTTTAATCTAAATAATGAATTTAACTTGTAGAAGGTGTTTTCTCTTTTCTTATGAGAAGTTTTTATAAGTTGTTTAGCCTTTCTCCCCCAGTTATTGTGATCTTTAGAAACCACATGCGCTTCCTAGTACTTTCTGCAGGCATTGATACACCTAAGACCTGATGATTGAAGCTTAATAAGGTAAATGTAGGCGTAATAACATCCATTGGGTGTAAGCTGTAGACTGCCTAATTAAGACGGGAAATGAGGTGTATGTTTGTGGAGTAAAGGTAGCTAAATCACTGGAACAATTTACTCAGGCGTGTGGAGGAGTCTCCATCTCAGACTTCACATGAAGACTGGACATCTGTCTAATAAAAGTGCTTCGTATTCACCATGACATATGGGTTTGATACAAAGATTTTGGAGTCAGAGTCCCAGATCCCTGCTGTGTAGAAAATCAGACTTGAAGACCACAACTGTCCTTCCTGTCTTTAAATGAGAAATTAAGATTTCCATGGCAAAATTCCCGGGTGAACATAGACCAGGATATCTTCCCTAAATTGGACTGAAGTTTTGGGATGTAATGTCCTTGGGTGACATTTTTCTGATGTCCACACTGATCTCTTGGAAGATGGGGGATTCTGGAGGCAGTGAAGGAAGCTGAAGGTGGGGCGATGAATTGAATGAGGAGAAAGATCAGTGTTTGTGAATAGAGAAGAGAGGATTTACAGGTATCCAAGTAAGACAGATGTGATGGGAGCAGAGAGGTGTTCAGGTGTCATGGGAAAAGCTGCTAGGTTGGGTACCAGCCTGAAGGCCATATCAGAAGAGATAGGAAGGGAACCATCAGAGTGAAAATTACTGTGTATTTGTTTAATATTAATCACAGTATGTAGCATTTCACGTATTGCAGAGGAATTCTTCCCTTCCTGCAGAGACCTTGGAGTATCAGAAAGGTAGAGACGATCCCGTAGTAACTCTAGAGTAGGAGAGCCTAAGGGTGGTAGGGTGGCCTGGATGGGTGTAGGGAGCTGGCAGAGCTGCGGCCGCTGGAGTGGCTCACTTGAGCTCTGCCATATTCCCTGCAGAAAAGGGCAAAAGTCTCCTTGGCTGGACTTGGTGTTTGGAGGCGGGAGGCGACAGCGGTGCCAAGCAGAGCTGGTGAAGAAAGAGCCGTCTCACTCCGCTGGCACAATCTGTTTTGGTGCTTTAATTGGATCAGGTCAACAGGAAAGTGAGGTCATTGTAGGGTAATGAAGGGCATGACAAAATGATTGAGTTTTGAAAACATAATAAAACGCTCGAGGAGGCTGCCATTCCTTGGGCGGGGAGGAGTGCTGCTGAGGGAACAGCACAATCAGTTCATTGGGAAAGGGAGAGGGCTCGGGCTAAAAACCAATGAAAGAGGATTTAAAAATAAGTATGAATGGTTGTGTAGAGGGAAAGTGGATGGCTTCCACTTTGATGGAAAAAGTGAGGATTTTGAAACTTCTAAGTAGGAGCACAGGAGTATTTTTATACCAATGGCATTGAAAAGAGTTGCAAGTTGAGATCCAGCTCTGGTTAGAAACAAGGCACTAGCAGCCCGGAAGGATTTGTGTCCCCTCAAGGACTAGGTGGGATGGAAAGAGGCTCTTGCTCCTTGTTTGGTCCAAACACTTAATGTCTGAGACAATGTTCCATGGGCGAGCAGGAGTAAGGGGAAAATAGATCAGGTTTCCTGGTAAGCCTCCACAAACAGCCAAGAATCCTTCATTTTGGTAACTTCCCAATAGAGGTTTGTATGGATTTTTTTTGTTTTTTAAGGGTCAGGATTGCAGAAAGCAGCAGCTGATGAGAACTGTCCAAAAGCAGGATTTCTGTCCTGTGAACAACTCTGAGATTTCAACATTTAATTTCAGGCTGAAAGAAAAAAAATATATATAAAAAAAAAATCTCAAAACTTTCCATGAGTTATTTAGAATACTCATTTGGCTGTGTCAAAACTTTCCAATTCTATTATATCAAAATGTTTCATCTTGATCTTTATAGTATCTAAAATAATTACCCGAGCAAAATGCTTCCCCCTATGGATACTGTCCAACAAGTATTTTGGTTGAGCTATTGTAAGAGCATAAAGGAAATCTTTGATATAGAATTAGAATGCTTCAGTTGTTTCTCATTGAAAACATTCCTGACATTGATCTGTGCCTGCAAAACTCTTAATCAAATAAGAGTTTTCTGCTGGAAAACTTCCACTGGAAAAATGTTGGCTAATACAGACGTAAGAACTTGTGAGCGTTGCTCGCACTCCCAGACTGAAGATTGCTCCTATGTGTCAGATATTGTTGCATTTCCTTTTTTGCTCATTTAAGTTTTATTGGGAAGGAGTGAAAGACTCGTAGGAGGGCTGGAGATGAGAGATCTGGAGATCAGAACAGAGAGAAATAGAAAAAGTTGTGGCTGGAAGGATTCATGCATCACAGAGGAGCCAAAAAGGTCATAAACCCAAAGTGTTATTTTCCTTTTGTACATACCTTTAGATATGTGGGGAACCAACTGCTCTTAGGAGAATGTTGCCTTTGGTCTCCTAAGAGTAACGAGGAGCAAAGCCGCTGGCTCATGTGTCGTGTCAGGAATGCATCTTGCACAACACCGCTGCCTGGGCACTCTCTGAGCTGGACAGGAAGACCTCTGACTGGAGAACAGGCTGTTTACAAGCTGTAAAGACAAAGTCCCACTTAGTAGCTCATCCAAGTGGAGAAGAGATTTTTCTAGAGAATTTTGGGAGGTCTGGCACAGCTGGAGCCAACTTCCAAAAATCAATGTCAGGAATAGCCTTGGGTCCAGGGAGACAAATATGAAAAGTGCCAACTTCTGCTGCGTCCAGCACTGGGATGGCAGAGCAGGGGAGAGTCTGCGCGTGGGCACTGGTCCCTCACCAGGAGCCCTGTGACCCCCTGAGGCAGAGGCCGTGCTGCTAGCCCCCTACCATCTGCTCAGCTTCTCCTCCTCCTCTTCGCCCTTCCCACAGCTCACGAGGGCGCGACTTGTGACCTGCTGGGCAAGATCTACCACAACGGAGAGAGCTTCCAGCCCACCTGCAAGCTGCAGTGCATCTGCATGGACGGGGCCATCGGCTGCATCCCGCTCTGCTCCGACGACCTGCGGCTGCCGTCCCCTGAGTGCCCCAACCCGCGGCGGGTGAAGTTCCACAATAAGTGCTGCGAAGAGTGGATCTGCGAGGAGGGCAGTGAGGAAAACCGCTTCGAAACAGCCATGGCGGGTGAGTGGTGGGCAGACATGACAGGGCTGGGAGCTGTTTGCTGGGGGATGGGGGTGGATCCAAACTGCCTTTGGATCGGAGCCCTAAGTCACATCTGATTTGGAACGGAAGGTGACCGTTTACTTGGTGCACCATGGTGTGGGTACCAAGCGTTGAACTCCAGATCCGTTAAGGTGAGACTTTAGCAATGCTGCGGGGAGGCTCGCACACCCTCTGGTATTGCAGCAGAGCTGGCTGGAACTGGGCCGTGGTAGGAAATGACACCGTGCTCGCCTGCGTCGTCCTCCTGCTGAGAGGCTGAGGAGCTCACAGGATGGATCAGACCTTTGCTACTGTTCCTGAAGAGTTAGACCAAGCTGGGAGCAGCCATGGAGCTGCCACATTTTGTCCCAAGCCCTGAACCTCGCCTTGTGCCTCTTCCATGTTGCTCAGTTTTCAGGGAGGATCCAGCACACAAGCCGGAGCTGAATAACCTGCAGGAGAACTGCTTGGTGCAGACCACCGAGTGGAGTGCTTGCTCTAAGAGCTGCGGCATGGGCATCTCTGCCCGAGTAACCAACGACAACCCCCAGTGCCGCCTGGAGAAGGAGACCCGGCTCTGCATGGTCCGGCCCTGCGACTTCCCCATGGAGAAAACCAAGGTACTGGGCTTGGGGAGAGGGGACACAACACCGTGAATGCCAGGGACAACCTGGTTAGGTACTTGTCAGGCATGAGCCCATCTCAGAGGGTTTGCTCTCTGCTTCCACTTTTTCTGTGTCCTATTGCCCAGTGACGGAGATAGAGCACAGGCCTCAGTGGACCTTTCGTCTGATTGTCATGTCCTTGTTAACCCATCTGCTCTCTCCCTAGAAGGGGAAGAAGTGTGTGCGGACCCCAAAGCCACGCCAGAGCCTCCACTTTGAGTTTTCGGGCTGCACCAGCACCCGTTCCTACCGGCCCAAGTTCTGCGGCAGCTGCACGGACGGCCGCTGCTGCACCCCATACGTCACCAGCACCGTGGAAGTGGAGTTCCGCTGCCCCGAGGGGGACTTCTTCCAGCGGAAGATGATGTTCATCAAGGTGTGCTCCTGCCACTACGACTGCCCCCGAGACAATGACATCTTTCTGGCCACCTATCACAGGAGGATGATTGGAGACCACGTCAAGACAGAGAGGCAGTAGCCCTCTCTGTGCCAGATCCACAGGCCAAGGTGTCAAGAGGGCTCTGCAGCGCTTTCGTGGCTGTGTCCCAGGTCAATGCAGCCTCTTCCCCCTCTGTGAGGGGCTGTGCTCTTCGGAACAGCACCGTTTGCCACCAGTGGTCCCAGTGGCCTTCCTAACAAGCCAAGGTGCATGGGGGCACAGCCCCATCTGTTCCAGGCTCCTGACCTTCACCCGTGGTGGTGCAAAGGTCAGTGAAGGAACCAGAAACAGGCTTGAGCCGCAAACTTGATCCATGTTCCCACTGGTGGGAGAGTGGATCAAAGCCGCGTGGCTCCAGCCTGTGTCCAGCTGAGAGCACAGCGGGTATGATTCCCCGTGGCCACTGGCCTGCCAAAACCATGCGGCAAACCCAGAGCATGAGACAGGGGAAGCCCAGGAGGCCTGAGCTAAAGCCGAGTTCTGCAGCCTGCTTTCTAGCAGAGTGGGGCTCTCCTGCGTGTTGATGCAAAGCTTCTCAGTGAGGAAAGTGGTCCTGGCCTGGTGCTGGGCTTCTGCTGAGCTTTTCAACTATTTTTGGCTAATTGGATCCAACAAGTTGGCAAAAACTCTTCCCCATCCTAGTGCCCACCTTTCACCCTCCCATGTGCTTTCCCGTCAGCAGCTTTGTTCCAGATCCGTTTGCTCCTAGAAAGGCCGGATCATCTGCTGGGCAACCCGTTCTCTGGGCACCTCAAGGCTGGGCTTGCTTTTTTCCCCCATTAAATTCCTTTTAGCCTCTGCCAGTGAGGGTGACGGCGAAGACAAGGAAACAGCCAGTTGTGTAGTGTTACTGCAGGAGATGGAGTGTGGCTCAGGGCCTTCTCCAGAAGATCTGAGCCCAGGAAGGAGTTTAGAAAAACGGATTTGGCCAGGCTGTAGCTTTGCCTCTGGCGCTGGCAGGGCAGTGTTTTTAGTGCTGTGATGAGCATGTCCTATTGTCCCTTTCGGTAAGCTCTTCAGAAATGGCTCTGGGGTGGGAGAGGGGCTGGACTCCACTGGCTTGCATATCCACAGTGGGGCTGCAACTACATTTCGCCTCTGGAGTCTTTGCTGGTGAGTCACAAGTTGGAGGAACGCAGTTCAGCTCAGGTCTCCCCAGGGAATTTAAGGCACTGGCAAGAAAAATGCCCGTATTTGTAAATGGAGTTACCGAGGCAGTGGCATGGAAAGCTGCATGGTGCTGGGGTCTCCAGCACTGGGATTCCCTTCTTGCCAAACCTGTGCAGAGTCTCTCTGCCGTTAACGACGTGCTGATGGCCAGCCCGTAGCTCCAGGAGAGGCCACCATCACAGGAGTGATCCCGTAAGCCCCCAGCCTGGCTGGCACAGCCAGCAGTGATGCAGCCCCGTGCACCTCAGCAGCTCCATGGTGTCTCTGAAGTCTTACCAGTTGCGTTTAATGTCTGCTGATTTTTAGCAGAAACATCCAGGTAAAGTGCCTCATCTCATTCCTTAAATCTTCCTGGCCTTTCACTGCTGGAAATCATGATGAATTCCTGTCCCGGCCAGGCAGGAGCAGGGGTCACGCTGCAGCACTGAGGCTTTACCCCACCACAACTCCCACCCCAAAGCAGAACCTGATGCCAGAGGATAATCCCAGCCATCAATAAACGCTGCCCTGCAGCTCATAACTCCGCTGAAATGCCAGCTTGGGGCCTGTGTCTCGTCTCAGCCCCTCTTTTCCTGCTCTCTCAGCCTGCGGAAGCTCATGAGCCTTCAGCCTCCTGTAATCAATTAGAACTGTAAATAATTTATCTGATGTTGTTTTTTTTTTTTTAAAGGCCTTTGTACAGTTCTTGTATCCTTTTAGTACAACCTTGCTTGGGGCCTTTTCTCCCCTTGCCCTCCAGGTCTGCGCTGAACTTTTTTCTCCAGCCGTTTACACCGCTTCTGAGTGTAAAACTATGCTGAGGTTGCACTTTACTCAATGCTAATAAATATCTCTTTATTTTTTATATCCCTGGCAGCATCCCTCTGTGTGAGGCTCCTGCCCGGCTTCCCCTCCGGCCTTTGCCCAGTGCCACAAGCCTGCTGGGACCAGTGCTGGGATCCTCTTCAAAGCCAATGGCTGGGTGCGGAGAGGATGGGGGGTCCACAGGAGAGAAGGGGGGCTGTTCCCCTTCCCAAACAGCAGCAGGGCTGGTGTTGGTGTCTCATGGGCACCTCTGGGAGGGGACACACAGACACCCCCCCCTCCCCGCCTGCTTAAGGACCCAGAAGTCCTTAATACCCGGTTAAAAATAACCCTGGGAGCAGATGTGAGCAGAAGTCGGCGATAACGGGGCCAGAACGCGAGGGGCTTTGCAGCGGCTTAACAGCTTACGGATTCATCCCCCTCTCATCACATTAGCCAGGGGCTCCCCCCTCTCCCACCCCCGGCACCGCGGTGGGGGCGAGAGGCTCTTCCTCCCACCCTCCCCCAAACCTTCCTCTTCCCCTGGGGAAGGCTTAGGGCTCCCTGGGGAGAGGCAGGTGACCGGGGGTGGGGGACGGGACACGGGGGGACAAGCCCCGGTCGAGCGGGAGCTGCGGGGGGGTCGAGGCGCTGAGCCCGGAGCAGGACCCGTCCCGTCGCTGTCTGGAGGCCCTGGGGGGGGTCCTTGCCGGTGTCCCCAGGGCGGTGGCCGTTAGGTGGCACCAGGCACCTCCCTCCAGGGACACCCCGTCCCTGTCCCCGAGGCAGGGGGCACCCCCCTCCCCCGGCCCGGCCCCGGCCACCCAGTGCCACCGCCGGGGCTGGCAGAGAGGGCGGTGGGACCCTTGGTGCTGACGGGGGGGGACACGACGACGGACGATTCCAGCCCGCCCCCACCTCCGTGCCCGCCCCGGTCCCCCCCCACCTTATCGCCCGCGGCCGCCGCCTGCGCGGCACCGATAGCCCGGGCGTGCCCCCCGCCTTCTCGGGCGGCCGGAGCCGTGCGGGCACCCGCTGCGGAGGGAGGGGTGGTTGTTTTTTTCCTTCCCCCCCCTAAAAAAAAGAGGACCAAAAAAAGGAGGCGGGTGAAAATGAGCGTAAAGATCTAGAAAAGAGCCGATTTCGCCGGGTTTGGGGGGGGATTTGGGTCTCTGCTGGCTGTGCCGGGCACCCAGACACGCCCGGGGGTACCCACGGCCCAGGGGGGCGCCTGGGAGAACCCGCGGGAACACTTTCTCCTTATATGGGGCGGTGACGTCACGGCGGCACTCGGAGGCCGGCGTTGAGGTCACGCGCCCCCCCCCGCGGAGAGGTGGGGGGAATTTCCTGGCCCCGCCCCTTCGCCCACCGTGACGCCACACCGTCACCTGCCCGCCCCGCCCACTGCAGCGCCGCGCCGCCGGCGGGCCCGCCCC